AGAGAGAGAGAGAGAGAGAGAGAGAGAGAGAGAGAGAGAGAGAGAAGGAGAATAAATAAAAACAAGTGATCACTGCTGTTTTACAGGATCAAGGCACCAAAAAGGGCACTACACAGAAACATCTACTCACAATGATGAGGAAGTCTGCGTGGGTACCGGTGAACACAGGAATGTCCATGGGCACCCGCACGGAGTAGGGCTTGTTGAGACGCACGCCAAAGTTCCTCTCCCCACTTAACAGTAGCAGGATAAACACACCGATATGCATTAGGCCGACACGTGCTGTACAGAACACACACATTCAAACCACGAGAGTTATTACTGGCTTTTATAGTTCAAAATCATCATCAGGGAGAAGGGGGAGGTAGCATGGTTGCATTTTTTTCCTTTGAAATACAAGCTGAAAGATAAAAACAGATTTAAAACAAAATGATTTTACAAAACAAACTCATATCTAGCATCTATATGTGAGGCAGCATGGTGGAATCAGGCGCTCGTCAAAATAATGAAAGTGAAGAAACTAGCATTTTTCCACAGGTTTGGGAATTTTTATCGAATTTTTAAATTTTGGCTCTACACCTTTCAAGCCCATTAAAGAACACATTTCTGTGTGGATTTTACTGAAAAACGTTGATTAAAGGCATAAAAGAAGTAACTTTTAAATTTCCACGCACTCTCAAGGCAAGGAAATAACTAAACTTTGGCGGCCATTTTCTCACTAATTTTACCTCTGAAACCAGGCGACCCGTATCTCCTTCAATCTCCAATATCACGACTTGTATCCAAGAGAAATTTCATCAAAAGTAAGGCAAATGGACAGGCTTTAAGATGAAACCTATAACTCCATAAGCCCAAAAATTGACGAGCCCCTGATTCCACCACGACATATTTTTTTATTAGATGTTCTATGCCAACACCACATTAGCATTAGGAACCCACAGAAAAAATATAACAGCAATATTATTTATAAAAACAGAGCATACACTTGGAGGAAACCCAGCTACCACAGAGCATTGCTATTGTCCCCTTGATCAGTTACATTATTGATAAAAAGCAAACTATTGAAGAGGCATCACCATTCAGAAAAATTTGTTAGAAGGTGGAAGCAACTGAGTAATGAAGCACACAGAGGTGGGTCGGGGGGGGGAGGGGTCAATCCTATTCAAGATAACCAAAGAAAACCATACAAGACTTTCATCTGCACTAGAAAAAAAAACACTATATGTAAAACAAGGCAAGAAATAAATGTTGAGTCATGATGTGACATAATTTACTCACACTGGTCAGCCCTGGCATCATTCAGGTTGTAGAGAATCGGAACAAGAATATCTAGAACATCACTGCTCTTCAACACGAAAAACATGAATTTCTGAGGACAAAAGTACGATGGAAAGGGTGAACTGGCATTTAAACAAAAGCATAAATTGCAAGGGTCTTTCACACTCATAAACAATGTTACAATGTAATCTATTGTAAAAATTCAGACAGCTAACTTTCGAACAATGTTATGCACTACATAAAAGCCATCTTTTATTATTTAGTATTGTTATTACAATTATTATCATCTTCATCCAACAAAAAGTAGTCGATTATAGCATGGACATGTTAATTGTTCTGCTGAATTCCAAAAGCTCAGCATCTTTGAGGACAACAGGCACAGACATTAATCTTCCTCTAGTGCTGAACCTGCAACCTACTTTGTTGATGTCGCACATTTTCCAGAAGAGCACCAGGAGCTCCTGGTAGAACTGGATGCGCTTGGTGGAGCCCGGGAGGTACGTCTGCTGCAGTGGGTTGTTCAGCAGACGTGTGATGCCCTTCAGGATGAACGCAAAGTCCTGCGTCAAAGCAAAAAAGTTTAGTTTTAGTAAGAGTGTTATGGCACTTGCGACACAAATAGGTTGTATAAGTGCTTAAGATTAGAGGTGTTACTAGAGAGCAATGTTCAAAAAAAGGAAGGAGAGATAAGGATGACAGACTTATGATAGAAAAGAAGGAGCAAACCACACCAGAGCACCCACCGAAGACAAGGATTGTGTTGTTCGGTCAAGTAAGAAAAACACACCAAACCCAGTAACAATCACTTGGTGCTGGGTAAAAGCAAAACAGACAGACAGAAACAATACAGGAAAAAAGAAGTAGGGCCTGCCAGTGACACCCTTTAACAACCCATTCAGAGAAGGGCAGTAAATAAATGCTTTACTTAAAAGCAAGGACACTGTCAAAATGCTGGTGATCTCAAGCGATTATTCGGGAGAGGTGTTTGCGGATTGTGAATCTAGATTCTACCAAAAAAGAGAAGACAATATCAGGTTGGGACCACAAGACATAAATGAAGATGTTCACAACTTCTGTAGACAAGAATAAGTCACAATCTTTCATCTCCGGATACAACATATCGTCGGCCTAGTGATAAAACCGACTAACCCACAAAATTTCAAAAAAATTTTTTATTGGCCCTATCGATAGTAAATTGTCCATTTCATATGCTCAATCAAAGACAGATCATAATTTTGTTTAGAAATGTCTTTAAAACATTAGAAATAAAACCGTATAACCCGGCACCCATCGGATTTTAGCCCGATAATTCCGACTATCCCACCTGTAATAGTCCAGAATTCGCTCACTTAACCGTGGGAGCTCTCCAAAAAAGGAATATTTGAGTAATATTTCTTGTTGGTTTCATTCG